TATCCCATGCAAAGTTTGTTATACACTTGCTGTGCATTTGAATGGCTTTATAGCACTATAATATATACTTATTTTTACTAAGTGCTCCAGCTATGGTTAATTGTGTGTTCCAGGGGCTGACTTTAACTCCAGCGTGCAGGCAGGCTGTAAACTTTTACTCTGATGTAAACCTTGGCAGCAATTTCTGCCCCTGTGGTAGAGAAAACATTATGTTGAGAAATTCTGGCATGCCAGACAAAATTATGGACTTACACACCCAGATTAAGCCTGTGTTTCAGTTCTTAAGTGCCCAGATTCCCACTGAGCTCAGCCAGAGAGCCAAACCCACAAGCACTTCTACAAGGACATATATTTGAAAGGCATTAATTATGTTTTCAAAAGGCAATTCTGATGCAGCGCCAACAGAAGACACGAGTGGCTGTGGATGCACAGCACTGGGATAAATCCTGGAAGGTCTTAGGGAATCCAAGTAACATTCCAAAAGCTGAAAAAATCTTCTAGTTAGAGGTCAGCACTGCTCCAGTTTCCATATTCTGCTGTATGTGATTGGCCTGTGTGGGATCTACCAATATAGTCAAGGGATAGAGAAATGTCAGAACGGATTCTTTCATTTGGGTGATGAAGTGCCCACTCTGCCTGCCAGCATGCAGGGCTCAATAAAAGCAGACAGGTCTTCAAAAAATAGCAGCATAAATAGATGAACTCTTTAAAGTAATACAAGTTCTGTCATCTGGAGGTGAAATATAGACCTAAGTGCCCGCTGAAGTAAAGGCTGACCGCACGTTCCACAGAGAAGTGCTCAAAGTTTTCTCAGAGCGTCTCGGGCTGAGCAATGTTTTAACTACATCTCTCCTTGCCACAACAGACAGAATGAAAGCATTTGAAGTTAAATCCATTTTTCAAAAGAAGAAAACAAAGCATCCATAAAGAAACAAAGGCATATCACGGGATGAGGTCTCTAGATAGCCACTGTTTTCAGGGAAGTTGCAATTAGCTGTGCAATGGAGAAGGTGAATTTGGTTGTATTTCAACAGCATTTATAATGACTTCAGCAGCTAAAATGCTGATAGGTACGTGCAGGGGGTTGGATTCGAGATTTCCTTGTGAGACACAAGGTCAGGATTCCTGTGGTCTCCTGTCATATTTAATTCATATCCTCTGGCCTTCTTCACCACATTTATTGAATTACAGGAATAAAATTCAACGAACCAAAAACAAAAGAAGAGAGGACAAGGCACATCGTGATTTCTTTTATGTCCCTCCCGCACAACTGAGTTCAGTGGGCTTGCAGAAGAGTATCTTGGAGCAGAATTTGGAAGGAGGGGGAGGTACAAGTCAGTAAAACCCCTCTCACCATCCCTCTAACTGCATCCAAGTAATTTATTGCAAGGAGCAACCATTTGCATGTGGGAGTGAGGATCCAATTTCCACCAGTAAAGACTCTCCCTGTGTACTTTTTAAGACTAATCTGTGCACTCCCTGTGTGTGTTTACCAGGCTCCTTCTTGCCACAAATGAGATGGCAGTAAATGGCTTTGCAAAACCACCCAGAAGAGCATCACTGGCAATTCATCACATCAGTGGTGAGAGGCAACACTTAAATATGGTAAAATACCAGCTCCAGGGAAGTGCTCTACTGGTGTGCTTGTAATGGTGATTCCCTGCAGTCATCTCAGTTAAACTGGTCCAGCCTTTCTCCTCCCTTCACAATAAGCACAGTGTTCCCAACAGGCCTGTGGTGTGGACTCTTCTGCTGGAGCAATGGGGAGCAGCTCTGTGATTGGGGAGAAGATGATTTTCTTGTGTCTCCTCTACTCCTATTATCCTATTTGCATTGCCCTGAATGCTGCCTCCAAGAACTGGCTGGTTTGGGTATAACTGTGGATCACTCAGATCTCTCAGCTACTTCTTCAGTCAAACCTACACCCGGTTCTGCTCTGTGGTTCAGACACCCCCAGAGTTAAAACAGACCATCCCCTGGTGTGAGCACAGTCACATCAGAGCCTCACACAAACACCTTGTACCAATACCCAACAACAGCTTCACAACAGTGTCATTTGGTTTTAGAGCCAGAAATGTGCAAATCTGGTTGTTGAGTCTGACCCAAAATAATCATCGAAAAAAAAGAGAGAAAATGTTTTGAAATTCTATCCAAAACTGCAAGCTCACCACTATGTAGCTTTGGCATTTGAATTTTTGGAAATGTCACAGCTAATAAATAATGCATTTTTTTTTCTAAGCTACAAGGTACATTTTTATTTTACAACTTGAATCTGCTTAACTTCCAAAAATTTAAATGCTCTGCTCACATCCACGTCAACCTATGGGATGGCTGCCTTTCCACTTAATACATTTAATAAAGGTGACCAGATGCTTTGTGATTTTAATGGCTTGTTCTGCATCCCAACAAAATGTCCCTGTTTTGGCTGTGAGAGCAGATGATTCATCCTGAAACCCAGCCCAGCTGCCCTGACACAGGGCACAGATAAAAACACACCATCTGTGCCGGGGAGTGGGATGGAGGAGTGCTTTGTCAGGAAAACACTGTCCTTCCTTGGGCACTGTGTATTCCAGGCATCCAGTACTCCCAAAATCCTATGGGTCCAACCTCTCTGCCTTAGCAGTTCAATTTTGCAGTTATATCCCATCTCCCATCACATGGTCTTCCTTAGAAACCCCTCAGCCTGCTCTGCTCTGTAAGATCTGCAGATCAAACATGTCTGTAAAACGTAAGATGTTGCTCCTGGTTTTATTCTTTCCAATCGCACGGCAAAATTCCTGCCCGTGTGGCTGCATCAGCCAAGCCAGAAAAAGCAAGAGGGAGGGATTCATTTATGGCTCTTCTGAATAATGAGCTCTGCCCAGCTCTGCATTAGCACCACTCCACGGTGAGCTCTGCCAGGGGACACATCCTGCACCCAGGGGTCACTGTGCCACCGCTCCCAGACTTGCTGAATCCAAGGGCAAAATTCTACCCACAGGCAAAGCTCCTGCTGCCTCAGCAAGAGCCAGGCAGGAATATCTGAAGGGAAAGTCAGGCTTGGAGTGTGTCATTGAGAAAAGGTACTTCCAGCCTTTAAGGGTTCTGGCCCCACAGCATCTCCCACCTCCCCTGCAGGCAGCACCTTCTCCCTGCCCAGGAGCATTCCCGGTGGGATACTCTGGGGTGGGAAGCAAAGGCTCCTGTCCAGTTTTCTGTGCAGCCTGTGTTCTGCAGCATTTGAAAGAACCACTGCAGCTCAAGTCATCTGGCATGCATACGAATGACAAATATGCTTCAGAGGCAATAAATTAGCAATTTCAAGGCTTTACTTCCCCTCCTGGACTAATTGCCAGAGATTATAGTATATTATGTGAGAGCAATGATACTAATGCCTAAATATGCTTCAGTGATTATAGAGCTATCCTCAATAACCAAGCTGTTTAAATGTCAATGCAAGAAAGCTCTTTATTACGAGATTAAATATTGTTTTGAAGCAATGCAATAGGAACTTCCCAGGCTTCCTGCCTGCAAAAATGCTGCCTTGGGGCAATATATATTGGACAAGGTATGTTTTTTGAAAATGTGGGCAGTAAAGGGTCCCAAAATACTTTTGTGCTGCAAACTTGAACAGCATTCCTGATAAGAAGGAGGATCTTGGCATCTTTTATTTTGTATTTGCTACTAACATGCTGCCGCCTTCATCTTTCCTCCACTTGTCTATCACCACTGTACAGAGAAGATAAATCCTTGTTTTCTGTCAGTGTGAGTTGGGAATCAAACCTTAAAGACCTTTCCTTCTTTTTTTTTCCCACCTCTAAGTACTAGTATCTTGCACAGACACTTCTGAGTCCTGCCCCTCACACCTAAATAAATCTCTTTATACCTGGCATTGGGAGAACCCCTGGAAATCAGATGGAAGCTCCAACTTTCAGGTTCAGCTGCTGACATGAAGCAGAAAACAAAAGTGTCTTTAAGCCATGACTCCAACTGCACAGCTCTGGAGATGCCAGTTGGTGATCATAACCTCAGGTGTGGATTTAGAAGGAAAGAAGGCTAAAAAGGCTTTAACATCCCACTAATCTCATACAGGACCCACCCACTATGGATCTCGTCACACAGTTGTGCTGCCTGTCCCTTGATTTCTAATAAACTCGGTAATTATAATAATATAGAAAATGCATAGATAGGCCTGTGGGGACAGATCACGTAAAATTAAGGACACAGAAAGACAACTACTCATGAATTTTGGTGGAATTCTCTTTTCAAAGTAATTTTTTTCCTTTAGGAAACATTGTTTCTCAAACACAGCCTGTACTTCTCCTCCATGGTGTGCTCCTGAAGTGAAGAGGGGCTTCACATATGGATGACTAGGGAACTTATTAGAGAGGATTCCATTCTGCCCAGCTGTAGCAGGACTGGACACCTGGATCCACATCCTGATACTTTCTACTGCAACCTGGCAATCGTTAATTCTGAATTTTTGATGTTTCATCTTGGCTGGTTTCTTCAGCCATTTTATATCTCACCTCTAAAACGTAGTGCTTGTTTACCTCAGGGTGTCTGAAGCTCTTTCTGATGCTCAGGTAACAGACACCTGCCACACGGGCTCAGAAAAGACATAAATTGCTCTATTATTTGCAACACTTTAAAATATCTCCATCTATTAAAATCACACTGTGACTGACAAGGAACCTGCTGAAAGGCCAGGAGAATTCTTTCTCTGCTCTTCTAGGCAGACAATAATCTGACATCCTTTTTTGTTACGTCTTGACTTGGAATATAGGATGGGAAACCACATCTTTATTTTAGTGATACACTTACAGCAGTGGTGTTAAGTACACGACCAGAAGCAGTGAGATGACCCTGCTCAAAGGAGAATGATGTGGACTTATCACAGAACGGGGGACAAATATGCGCATTGGCCACTTCTGGGCAAATATCATTTGAAATCAGGTTAAAATCCTCTTTAACTGTGTGCAGAGAGTTATGACCCCCCCAGCATTCCCCTCTGCACTCACCATGTAGCCGGGGGCACAGGAGCAGGCCCCGGTGATGCTGTCACAGTCGGCCCCGTTGTGGCAGGGGCAGGGCAGGGCACAGCCCTCGCCGTACGACCCCGGGGGACACGTCTCGTTGCAGTAGAGCCCAGCCCAGCCAGCCTTGCAGCTGCACTCTCCAGACAGGGGGTGGCAGCTACAAAGAGACAGACAGACACCCGTGAGGTGTGGACAGGAGGGGAAAATACAGTCCAGCACATCTAAGAATAGGGCAAACCTAAAGCTGTTAAGGATGGTGAACATCAGCAGCCGTGTAATTCAGAAAGGGAACAGGGAACATGGTGCTGAATATCAGCCTGGCACAGCACCTCCAAACACCTGGGAGCTGCCACAGCACTGGTTATTTTACACCTTGGAGTTCATGCTCTTCCACTCTCAAATCAATGTGACTTGGATCACTGCCATCAACCATGCCATGATCAATCCATGGGCTGTAGGATATGTATGTGCTGGATTATCTGGCTGTAACACAGACACTAGGGATGTTCAGGGCTAGGAGAAACTCCCCTGGATGGAGGAATGCAATCAAGAGAGCTGTGAAGATAAACCTGAGTTCTGGGGCACAATACTCTATTCTGTTCTGAATACTCTATTCTATTCTGACTCCACCAGGGAGGTGGTGGAGTCACCACCATGCCTTGGAGGTGCCCAAAAAACACGTGGATGTGGCACCTGAGGACATGGTTTAGTGGTGAACATGGTGGTGGTGGTGAGTTGATGGTTGGATTTGATGATCTTAAAGGTCTTTTCCAACCTAAATGATCCTATTCCATTCCACCCCATTCCATCCCATTCCATTCCACTGTCACTTGTGTTTCAGGAGTGCCACCTCAGCAGAACTTTTCAGCAGGCACAGGTAGAAAGGAAAGTGCTTTGGAAGGGAAAAACCTCCTCAGAAGAGGAGTTTTGCAGGGAATATTCAATCATAGTGCCCAGAACTGATCACCACCTGAAGCCTTGGGATTTACTTGGGGCAGGAGCCAACAGGAGCCCTGGGACTGAACTGAGGACGAGCAGGGAAATGAGTCAAGTTCTTTATGCTGAATAATGAGCAACATTAATCCTCTGGCTTTCATTTCCATGCAGCCAATTCCACACCACGTGGAGAGAAAAGGAGAAAGGAGAATTGAGCCCAAAAGACCAGACAGTGTCTGGTCCTTCTGGATCTGTGGGTGGAAGAGTCACCCTTTGCTCCTCCCGCCATGAAACAGATTATCTTTATTCAGCATTTTTCCTTCTCCCAGGTTTCCTTAGGGCACTCCTTTCCCACAGCAGGAGAGCCAAGCTGAGGCTGTGGTACCATAATGGCTCTGCCCAGCCCTCAGTGAGGGAGATGAGAAATAATATTGCTACAAATCCCATTTTCTTTATCATTCTCAGAACCAGAAGGATGGACTTCTGCAAGGTGGCACCTCTCTACGGACCTGTCTCCTGGTTTTTTGCCTCACAGAAACGATTCATTTTCCTTTATAATTATTTATTGCCACAGTTTAAGATTGTAGACATGACCGAATGAGTTTCTTTACACCTATAAAATTAATATTGTATATGTTAATTTTCAAGGTAACCCCATAAAATGTAATTTCCAAGTATGTTTCAGGCAATTACTGGTAGGAGAGGTTAGTCATATACTGTTGTGACTAAGAAGGATCAAATTCTGTAAGTGTCACATGTTTCATCATAAATAGCGTTTTACTGACTAATTAAAACAATTAATCAGCTTAACAAACTACCATCCATGAAATTCTTCTGACAAAGCGGTCCCTGAAATTATGGTTGTTCACAAAGCACCTCTTAACATTCAGATGAAAATAATAAAAGCCCATTTTTTCCCCCTCTGCGTCCATTAATCATTACCTAATAGGAGCAGAAAGCTCAACATTAAAGGAGTGTTTTAAAGTGGATTTTGTGTTTCTCTATTTCCACTACTACTGCATGTATCATATGCTTCCATGAGAACTGCATCTGTTGGCTAAATTAAATCTTTCAAAGGTAATGTATGATCAGGGCAGCTGGAATCAGTCTATGACAATTCAATTGAAAATACTACACTGGGGAAGAGCTTTTACTCCAAGGTTGGCTCCTTCATCAACACAGACAGCTCTTTTGCATGGGATGCAAGCTCTGTACCCAGGACTAAAAATCCTCCTGACAGGTACTAAAATAAGAATCAAAAAGCAAACAGGCTTTGCAGAAGAATCTGCAGGAGATGGGGGGGTTTTGACTCCAAACCAAGGGCCAGCAGAAAACTGAGACCATATTCAGCCCCACTGAAGCCTTGTCCACTCTTTCATGGGACTGTGAGGCAGGAAAATCCCGTGCAGATGTCTGGGTCCCTCCATTCATACAATGTTCCCGTTGCAGCAAGGACAATTCTGTCCCCAGCCTGAGCAGATCAGGGTTTCGTTTCTCTCCTGAGTCAAAAGCACTTGTTTGGCAATTCAGGTGCCTGATGCAGCGTTAACTTGAGCAGGGCTGAGACTGAGATGCTTTTCCAAACTGCAGAGAGCAGCTGTTCCCTCCCCAGTCCTGCCAGGGAATCTTGGCCATGTAACTCACTCTTTCTGCTTCATCTTTCCCCTTTCTAAAGTGATGCCTTTCTTCCTCTGGAAACCCTTTTAAGATCTGCAGCTGATATCACTAAACAGTACTAAGTTTTTATATTAATTCTTTTTTTTTATCTGGGAAGTATAAACTATTCCAGCAATTAAAGTGAGTAGAGTTACATAGTAAATATATTGCAGCTCATGATGTACTGTAAGTCTGGATGTATGTCTGTGTTAGGCATGTTTCTCTTCTGCTGGCATTTTGTACAACTTCATTCTGGTCAAAATATGTACTCAGACACATAACATAGTTCAGAAATTCATCTATCATCCATCCAACCATCCGTGCATCCAGACTGCCCAGTGATCTAAATGCTATTTGGACTGAGGTTGGAAAGTTTGAGGCAGAATAAAGCTTGAATAAGAAATACAGCTAGTATAAATATTTGTAGAATTCCTCCCTTCCTGCTCTGAATGCACCTGTCAAGGCCAGGAGTCCCTGAGAATGGGAGGGTTCCAGAAGGATCCCAAAGGCAAACCCACGAACACCTGCCTTCCAACCCTTGCTGGGAGCAGGAAGGGAACCTTCCACACTCCCAGAACTTTGGCAGTGCTGTACAATAGCAGTTTGCATTGAATCTTAACAACTTGCATTTCTTCAAGTCTCCTGCAGCACAGAAAGGAACAGTGTAGAGAAAAGCCAGGGTGAACACAGGCAGCCAAGTGTTCCTGGGGCTCCAGGCCAAGCCGAGGTGGGAATGGAGCTGTCCACTGGCTGAGAAGGAAAGTGTTCCAGGGCTCCTCCTGCACTTTGGAAGCCTCTCTATGATCCCTTCTGAGCCACATTTACAGCAATAAAAGATTTATTTGTGAGAATTTTACTACTTAACTGAAAAACACAAAGGCATTTTTGACCTTTAAGTTTTTTAAGCATCTAATTTTGAGGAAATTGGAGGAAAGCAGGTAACTTTCTTAAGGCAAATTGGAAAAAGAAATGCTTTAGACAGCACAGTCTCTTCCAAACTCTGAATTTGTTCTCCACACATCTTTCAGCTAAAACAACTTCTTCCCAGAGAATTTTCTGACTTTCTGTTTATACATTAGCACCAGTCATCTCATCTTCATTAGCAACAGCCCTAATCCTTATTTAACAGTATTTTCTGTCTCTTGGTGTCCATATTACATTCAGTTTTCCTTACTAAAATGCCTCTTGCTTTAAAGAAGTGGCCACAATGAGGCTGCAGGGCCACTCCTTCAGTCCAGCAGGTCTTCAAAGCCAGCCTCATTCAGCACATTATCGACTGAGGTCAAGGCAAAACTTCACACAAACTCCATGGGGTTTGGTCCTTCCAAACCTGTCAGTGCTGAGGCAGGAATTAGAGCCTCTGAAGATCTACTTTGTCACAGTGCCTTCCTTCCCTTCTCATGTCTGTGACCTTGGAAAGACATTCCCAAAGGCACATGGCTCCACACCCTGGCTCCACACCAGTGTTCAAGAAGGCTGGGTGGCCAAGACTATTCCAGCTGTTCATTTTCCTCCCTGCTTTAAAGACCAAGCCAGGATTATTCCTTTCCAAAACTGTAGGCTGCCTCAACATGGGCTTTTCACAGAGGAGGATTTTTTACAGGTGTATCCTTTCCTGTGGGAGGACAGACCAAGTCACCAACATGTTCTAAATCACCTTTTCTAAATCTCAGTCGAGGGGTTGTTCAAACGTCCCACACAAAGTGCCTTTCACTGTGCTCTGATGCAGAAATTATTAGATGATGTTCTTCAACCTTTACCATGCTGGAGGTTAGACTGGATGATCACACTGATCTCTTCAGATATTAAAACAGATAGATCTATGAAAGTGGAAAAGCTGATTGTGTACTTCTTAATGTTCCTCCTCAACCTGCTCCTCAAAGCCCCCAGAACTTTCTGTTCCAGTCAACTCTCCAATAACCAGGGTGGGAAGAGGAGTGCCCTGTATGGGACTGGTTAAACAATGAGCAAAAAGATTTGTTCAGAACATAGAGTGCCTTTGGAAAAGGTCATTTTCCATCAGCTCAGCAATTGACAGCACTCCTGGAGCTCATTGAAAAGTGGAAAGCCCAAATCCCATGGATGAATGAAAGAACATTTGCAGATCTACAGCTTGCTGATATCTCTTTGTTCCATAACAGCAGTGATAAGATGTAGGAAAAAAGGGAGATTTTATCAATGGAGAGACCAGACTCATTTATTAAGGAACCAGAGATACCATCTCAGCAGAGGATGCTGCAAGGGAAGCTGATGGAGCACTGATGGGAGGGAAGGAATAAAATGTACCCATCAGGCAGCAACCAGGAACAGGGTGTGTAGGAATGACCACATGCCCAGAAAAGAGCTGGGAGAGGATTCAATCCTTCACCTTTCTGAGCTCTCTCAAACTTGAGGCCTCCTCTTTCCTCACAGCTGGATGGTGCCAGTCTGTTCTTTCAGGAAAGACCCTCTGGCAAACCCTCAGAGCACCCCTCTGAGTAACACAGGATGAATTCTTGCACCCTCAAACCCACCTAAAATACTGTTACTGAATTGAGCACTAAGCTGAGAAACATCAGCCAAGCTCAGCCTTGCCCACGGCCTGCAGTCCTTCCACTCTATTTACACCTTTATGGGAATATGGGCTCACAGGCAGGTTCCTGCAGGCTCAGGAGGGGTGAAGACACAGTGTCAGCTACTGTCCATGAGCATATTCTCGCCCTCCAGCACATCTGAAGAACAGTTTACGCTGAGGAGCAATTCGGGTTGTGTTTCCCACAGGCTGGAGTCATGCACAGTGCCAGGTGCTGCAGCGTGTGACACGCAGGGATTTACACCTCAGCTCACTCTGTAGTAACTCCTGAGACATCCCACATCCTCAGCACAACACAGCACTAACCTTTTGTGTAAAATGTGTAGCTCATGCCTCAGGGATGTTATTTTTGCAATGATTTCATGATACACAACATAATCTGAAGCGATGGAAGCCTGTTGTAGAGAGCTCCCTTTGAGCCTCAAACCCTTTGGATCCTGGCTGTCAAACCCAGGAGTGCTGCAGCTCTCTTGCTCTACGGGACTTGTATCACCACAATTACAAGTTTTTAAATAATCCACTGTGAGCTCTGACTTTCGGTTAAACAAAGCCTCACCACTCACAGCTGAATTCACAAGGAAAATCACCTGTTTACTCCCAAGACTGAGACAAACAGGGTCTATCTCGAGCACACAGACAGATTTGCCTGAAGTGTTTGTGTGTGTGTGAGTGTGAGTGTGCACACAAATTAGGAGCTGTTGCTTGCATCCATAATTGGGGGTGCTTATATTTCAGCAGGCAGCAAGATCCAAGGCAGGTTTGTCATCATCTGCAGGACAGTCAGGTCCCCACCTGTCTGGTTGGAAATTGAGGAATGTCTGTACCAAGGGCACGTTTGCTCGGGCATCAATTATCCCACCTCCCTCTGAAGCACACACAACCCTAAATTGGCTCTGCCTGCTGAACAGGAATGGGCACAAAAGGGGGGGAATGGAGTGGGAGCTGAGGGGCTCAGCATGGAGCAGGTGAGGAATGTGGCACTCCAGTCCATCAGACAGCGCAGGCCGGCGGGGTTTGGCTGTCCAGGCTCCTTTACTGCAGGTGAGGGAGGGAGGAATCTCCAAACAGCAATTCCAGCAGTCAGTAAACAAGGCAGGGAGTTACAAAAGGTAACAAAGAGGATAATAGGGAAGAGTCTTAAATTCTTTCTTTTTTTTCAAGGTTTGGAAAACTTATTCAAGCCTGCAATGGGAAAGTCAATTCAAGGTGCTCAAGTGGCTCTGGCTCTTAGTAATGAGAACCTCAAGAATAAGATCCTGAAAAAAGGCAAAAAAAGGGAATAAGACATCAAAAGCCTACCTTTTAAGCAAGGCTGATTCCTGTAGGTACAATTCCCTGGTATTTATTTTCCTGAATATTTCCCACACGCACACAGTGAGTGAGGAGCAGAAATAGGCTCACATGAGGAGTCTGTTTTGACAATGTCGACCGTGTTACAGTTCCACAGACTGACTCAGGGATATTGATTTCAGTCTATTTATACATCTGCCTCAAGTGTTTGCAACAGGGTAATTTGCCACGAGACATAAACTGAAGCAAATTAGGTTTCATTTTGAAAGTCCCCTTGCTGTCTGTAGATCTAACAAGAAAACCCATGGCATATAAAAAAAGCCAAAATGATGGATTTGAGTAAACATATCTCTATTTTTAAAACTTCAGTGGGTTATTATATACACATATGGGCATCACCTGATGGTCCTTATGCCTCCAAGACTTTAGTTACAGGATAAAGCTGTGTGTCAGGTTGTTTCAGATGTTACCAGAGCTGTTAACAGATCTGTGCTCAGTAGATGGCTGGACTGAGGCTTATGGTTACAAACCTGAGGTCATTTAAATCCAAGCTTTGCAATCCAGAGGAACTGTCTGTGCTTGTACTTAAAACTACAGAGAAAAAGGTAGTGTGTGCAGTTAATTGAATTCTTCCCAATGCTTTTATTTGACCAGTCCCTGCACTGCAATATTACATGATGTACATACCTGAGGGTGTTGGTAATATTGCAAGGACATCTCTTGTTGCATTTGAGGCCATAAAACCCTTCTGGACACATCCTTTCTTGGCAGTAAATCCCTTTAAAGCCAGGGTCACAGATGCAGGCTCCATTGACGTGGTAGCACTTGGCCCCGTTCTGGCAGTCGCAGGTTTGTGAGCACTGGAAGCCGTAGGTCCCGATGGGACACTCCTCCTGGCACCTGCAGTGGCACAGGGGACAGGGCAGCCAGTCAGAGCTGCAGCCTTCTGCACAGGAATGTCTCTGTTAATGAACTAAATACAAAATCACTGCTTTTTAGTCAAGTCATACACTGTGAACTGATGGTATCGTTGGGGTGATGTGATATCCCGGGCATGGAAACGGCTGTTAACTGAAACTGCATTCATCTCTGCCCAATTAGAGCTGCAACATTTGCATCACTTAATATTACCTTTGTTTACAAAGTGCATTCTTCTCACCTGCACCTTGACAATTCCATTCACCACCCATAAGAAAGTGATGTGGAATAAATGATTAAAAAAACCCCTCGCCTGTTTGCTTTCTCTTTATCACAGGAAGACTGTGCACCTTCCTTGAAAGAACATGATCCTCCTAGTGATGCTGAGGGTTCAGAGGGAATGTGGTCTAAGCAATACTGAGCAAAGTTTCTCCAGCAATGTCCAGTTTTACTTGCCCTCTTTGCTCTCATTGCATCAGCTTTATACCAACAAGGAGAAAACAAACTCCTTTGTCTTTTGTGTGTGTTCTGAGTAACTAAAGCTTAAATTTACTTTTCTTCTCCTACTCCAGGGCTTCTTAGTAGTATAAAATCCCAATAAAAATCACTTTCACGCTCCTTAGTGAAGAATCTTCTTCAAAATTGCCGTTTTTAATATTTGATACACCCAAAAATGGAACCTGCAAACACTCTATACAGATTGTTTTAAATTGCGCCTTCCATGCACTGTTTTAAATACTTCCCTACTGGATACATTTTCATATCTGCCAAAGAGTCTGTCTCCTTGTCCTACACAACCAATTTAAGAGTTCATACTATTTCCTATTTGGAAAAGCTCAGTCAAGGTCCTAAAGAAAGCAACTGATTTTGTGCTTGACATAATTCAGTGGTTTCGAAATTCTGCAAAGAGTCAGGACTAGAGTTTACATGATCCACCGTGAAATACAGACAGGCCTTTTCAGTTCATAAAAACAGCAAAAGAAGGCAAGAAAAGCCCAATTCCCTTATCACATGGATGCCAGACATTGGAAATTGCCTATCAGCATTAATTTAAGCCTGAGCATTGATTAAAGTGTATACTGTAAACTCGGTGGATGGAGGCAATTGTTAAATGTCTTTCTGCAGGTCATTTCACAGCTGGCAGGTGAGAGTTAATATAATGATCAGTAATAAAAGATTAATGTGTGATGCAAGGCAGGCAAAACTGCAATGAACACAGGCAGTATATAAGAAGGGCATTACTTTTGCAGCTTCAGATTATCACGTTTTACTGAAAATAAATGAACACAGCGAAAGGCCCAGCCAGGGACTGAATTCCAGCAGCCACCAACACAGCTGCTGGGTACAAATCCAAGGTGAGGAGTTCACATGAGACCCAGGGAGAGAGGAGTTTGTGACAAACAGGGAAAGAGCCTGGAGAATCCCCAGCAGCAGAACCAGCAGAGAAAGGGGAGCAGCGGGGTTGGAACACTCCCAGCAAAGGAACTGCAGGAGGAGGGGACTGAGCTCCTCATTCCCCACTGCTGCACAGACCCTGCTCGTGAGGAGAGCTCTGCACTCAACGGGATGAACACTTAGTCAATAGTGCTCTGTATCACTCCATATTTATAGAAGATGAAGCATTACCTAGCAGGGAGAAAAGCATCTGGAAATGAAATATTGACGACCTAATCCATTTACATAATTAGCCTTTTTCTACTAACAATTTAACCAACTTATTTATTTGGAGATCAAGCAGCTCCCGCTAATGAATTTTATACAAAGAATACTAATAATGACTCCTCTGGAACATGAGAATAATCACAGCAGGAATTAGCTTTCTACTTAAACATCTTTCCTTTGCAACATATCAATCTAATGTGTCCATAGCACCATTAACAACCAGATACATTGTTCAATTAAATTACAAAATGAGCTGCTAAGCCCTAGTTATGTTTCTTGTTTAATTTACATTGCTTTCTGCCTATCTGGGGAGATTCGTATTATAATATCCACTGAACTTTAATATGTACTATAATTATTTGGGTTGGGATAGGATAATATGGCTGTCACCTGTAGAATTAATGGAAGCAATTTCACAAAATATTAAACAGAAGACAGCCTGCTTAACAGATGAACTTAGTACATGTACGTACATTTTTTTCCATAATTTCTTTTTTGTTAAGGAATAATGCTGTAAAGTTTGTTTGGCTCTTCTCTTTCTTTGTTTTGAAACAGTGATCATGTTTATGTAGCACAGACAAATATGAAAAGCCATCCAAAATACACCGACCAGGAGATAAGAGATCCAGCTACAAACACAACAACAGGAGAATAAATCTGCTCGTATAGTTCTAAAAAATGTGATATTTATTCTGTTAAGATTCAACCTTTAGATTTAGTGGCAAAATGGAAAACAAAGCTAAACCAGCATGTTCACTTTTCCTGTCAGGCACTGAATTGTGAGACACTCCATCCTCAGCTTCTAACTGTGCCTCTGCTATTATTCCTTTCCAGTTTGTAAAACATACATTTCCTTGACAGATCCAGTCATTTCTGTGAGCACAAAGCATCCTGCAGTTATTAACAGTGCCTGCCAATTTCCTGGAGATTTAGTGCAGTGCCACTCTTGGAAAACAGGTAGGGAACAAAAGTGTGGCAATTACACTCACACAGTCCTCTCTGACCATTTCATCTCCACAGATATTTATCTAACTCTCTGTTATTATCTTCTGCACACCACAGTGAACTGTAGCATTATACAGTACTTATTGATAATTTAAAGATGATAGTAGGCAAAGTGTATTTATATTTTTATTGCTGGTTATTCACAATATCAGTTATTATTAAGAAGATTTCTTCAGTGCCTTGTAAGACGTGAAGGAAAACACTGTTCTGTGGTGCAGCAGATTCTCCTGCTGTCCTTGCAATTGTGCTGTAACTCTCGTGAGACCCAGAGAGTAAAACAAGAGTTTAAGCTAAACTGGAGCTGACTGATCTGTCCCACTGCCCAAGTGGGGTGAACACACAGCCAAGGAAAGCAATTTAGACTCTTTAAAGACCTTGTCCCTACTCCTGCCCTCATCATATTTGCTCAGCAGAGCCCCCAGCCAGGTGAGGGCAGGGGAGTCTGTTCAGGACAAACCAGAGGGGCACAACTCCACTGGGATATAATGGGCCTGGAGTCTCCCTCCCTTTATAGAAAGGGGATTAAAGGCTGACAGATAAACCTGTTTTAACCTTCCAAGAACCTGTTTGAAAGGTGAGAATTTCTGGGCTGATGCACTTTTGCCCTGCTGCCAGCAGAGCTTTCCTACCTGCCTGTTTTAATCCTGTTCCCATTCATCCTTCCACACACCTGCATTTCTGCTCTCCCGCCTCTCCCTTCGGTGTCTTTTACTTCCCTGCTCCAGGATGGGGAAGGTGAGCCATTCCTTAGGGTTTTGCTTGGTACAGGTCCACAATGTGATCTTCCCTTGCTTCTTTTCCACCTCTCCCAACTGGTTCTGCCTTATTTTTTTCCCTCCCTGCTTCTGTTTTCCTAAGAAACATCTCTGGAGTCCAAACGTCTCCCACTTTTCTCCAGGCCCAAATCTGATGAGCCCACAGTCCCTTTGCTCAAGGACAATCCTTGTGAGCTCCTGCCAGCTCTGCCCTCAGGTGTCTCCTCTGCCCAGTCTCTCCCTGAGCCACCTTCTCCAGCCCCTCTCGGAGGACAATCAGCAATAAAACCACCTTCCCATCTCCTTCCCTCATCCCCAAGGGGGATGCAGGCTGCTGGCTGGGAGATCCCAGCAGCTCCAGCACTGTTCATTCACCTACAGCCAGGAATCCATCAGGATGTGCAACAACCAAATGAGGAGACCTGGAACCAGAGGCTCTGTCAGCCTTGCCAAGCATGGCCAGCGCTGGGAACAGCTTGGGATCGAATGTGGTCACCAGTATAAGGGTCCAGGATGGGCAGTTGCTTCCTTTAGTGAAAAAGTCTCCACAAGGAGAGAAACAGTAATTCTCTGGTAGCTCATGGCTGGAAGCACTGTCTCCAGATGGAGGATGGGGAACAAAGTCACACAGATGTCTTCTCCACTCAGTTATTTAGAAGTAATTAGTTTTTCCACCACATCCAACCCCATAAAAATCCCGAGCCTCCTCCAATTATCACTGTCCATAAAACAGACACAAGGAAGTTCCCTGTGTGATGGGAAGGAGCAGCCTCCTGATCCCCCAGGGATGGGGGTTGGATGTTTGTGTGCTACAGAGACCTGCTGGTTATACAGCAAGGCAACAAAGGAGGAACTCCAACGAGCTTTGCTGCATTAAAGTATAATTGTAGCATTGTCAGTATATTGAGATGAGCTTCCTCCAGCTCATAAAAACATGGAACACACAGGAAGAAGGGCTGTAGCACAGCACACTGGTGAGCTGTGCCCACCCAGCAAGAACTGCCCCAGGAGCTGCTTTAACTGCACTGCCCAAGCCCTGGCAGCAGGATTAGCTGGAGGGCTAAGCCAGCACGTGCTGCAATCCCTCATTGACTTTGCTGTGTAGTCATTTTGCTGAATCCATGACACCTTGGTAAAACAATATTATCATCTCCTCTGATCGATTCATGGGTGAAGGCTCTCGTTTATAAATTCGGAGGATTTATCACCTTTTGCTGGTGGCTGAGATGGATCAGTGCTACAGCAGCACAGAGGGCTGAAGGAGACATTAAACTTGCTGTGTTGCTTACTCTTGAGGATATTAATTTGTACAAAGATAGTTCATTTACATATCTTGTAAACATGTAATGCTCTCTATTAAATTTATCACTGTAAATATCTAAATTAAATTTAATCCATTAAATTTTAAAAGTTATATTAAAAACCCCCGTAAATGGAGAGCATTGCCAATAAAAAGTAATAACATTGCCACATTTATATTGCTTGAAGTGCTTCAGAAGGATGAACCTAATTGGAGCAATAGAAACATAACACCATTTTTCAGAGGGGAAGATTGTCCTAGAAGGGATATAAATATTGACAATCCCTGGTTAAAATGAAAGGCTTTTGGGGGGTAGGTTTTTACCTGTCTCCTATATAGCCAGCTGTGCAGATGCATTTTCCTGTCACGGGGTCACAGTGTCCTCCGTTGTGGCACGGACAGTCCTGGCTGCAGTTGATTCCAAAGGTTCCAGGAGGACATGGCTGTGCACACACCAGCCCCTGGTAATGTTGCAGAAAGAGCAGTATTTCAGTCAACATTCATAATGCAGTAAATTTCTATATGCAGCTGAGATTTTTATTGTCCTTCTTGCTAAACCTAGGAGTGAGTGTAGCAGCAATATTTTATGTGTATAAGATGTGCTAAAGACAGCCTGAAAACTCTGCTACCAGAGTAAATGCCTGTCTAACTCCAGGAGGGATTTTTCTCACCACTGTCCACTCCCTGATAATTCTCTTCTCTGGATCTCCCTGTAAACTGCAGCTGGGGTGGCAGGAGATTCACTGCCCCTTGTAAAGGTCCAGGAAGGTTTGGGAGAGGTTAAAAGCAACCAGAGAAGGCTACAAACCTTCTGGTATGTGCTGGCGGGGTTTTGTGAAATGGAGAGGCTGAAATGTTCTTGGACACACCCTGAGTAGAGAACATTTGGGAAGAAAGGGATTACTGGAAAGGTTGCACTGGGAGGATGAAGTTGTGTGAGTTCTGATAGTCTGTGATCATCTCCCTTGTTCAGAAAGTCCCTCCTCAGCCAACCACAAAGAAGACCAAATACACCTGCTGGAGGAGTCCTGTACTACTCCTCAGATCCCACCTCCTCCATTCCCTCTGCTCCCATCCAGCCCCCACAGTCAGCACAGAATGGCATCTGCCAGTGCTCTGTGCAAGCCACGGAGGGGGCAGGATGGGAACAAGAGGTTGGGAGAGTTGCAGAAAGCCCCCAGGGATGACACAGAAGCATCACATCAGCAGTGCAGCAGCCTTTGGCCAGAAGAAGGGATTTTGCAGTGGAACATCTGCCTAATCCCTGAACATCAGCAGGATGCCTCATCCACCATCCTCCCAGCTCCTTATCCCCAGCCCTGGAGTCATATCTCAGTCCCTGCCCTGCCTCAACTCCACATCTTGGTGGCAACCTCCTTTCCCCATTTTATGCTCCCAGCCCTCTGCCCTCCTGCCTCTTTATTCCAGTCCTCCCCAAATCCTTGTTGCAGACTCCCTTTTAGTGCTCTCCTTCATCTGGACCCAAATCCCCATCTGTGAGTTGTTTCCTCCTTTCCCTCCCTGTTTAACCACCTCTGAGAGCAGAGCACGGACAGACTATCCCTGTTGGGCACCCTGGCACTGCTCACCAAGAAAAGCAATTCCTGGGCAAGCCTTGCTCCAGCTGCTCAGCCCCAAGGCAGGGAATGCTCACTGTTGGTTGGGCTCATGTCTTTGGAGAATTTACCTGCCAAACTCAAGTGGTTTCCCCCCTGGGTATCCCATAATGTCCCCTGCCAAGTATCAAAGCCTTACGAGGATTTCCCCAGACTTTCTTAGAAGTTGCATGAATGTTTGTTTTTTTTTTTCTGGGAGCAAACATAAAGCCCAGGGCTGGGATCCAGCTGGGGAACTCCAGCCAAAACAAGGCTGGCAGTGCTGGGAGCTGAAGTTGTGGTCCTGTAATGGAAAATGTTTGGCATCTGCAGCAAGTGGTGCTGCTGCCAGTGCCACCACAGTGCCCAGTGTGAGACAGAACCAGTGTTTGTCTGGCCCTGGGATTATTTGGTTTAATCTCTCAGAAGCCTTGTTTCCCTAAGCAAACCCCGAGGGCTCTGGGTTTTGAACAAAGCACATATTAGACACAATTTACACAAAATATAACCCAGGAATATAATGGCTGCTTTCACTCCTCGGCCGGGGAAGTTTAGCTGTATCAACAACCCCAAAGTGGAGAGGCTGCTCTTCAATGTCACCATAAAACAGACACTTTCAGCCTCTCCCAAGCAGTGAGAGGTGGTTGCTTGGCTGTAAAACAGCCAGGTTGGCCTCAGTTCAAGAACTTTCAGATTACAGTGTTAAAAACTGGTGTCTCTGGACTTGAGTAATACACAACACTATATATCAGAAAACCTAAGTGTCCATTTATCTTGATAATAAATACTTTCTCCCTTCATGTCTCAAAAGGAACAGGATTTCTATCAGCAAATGATGAGAAAGCAATACTCTGGGATGCATCCCCCCGGAGCCAAGAGGATCTTCAGGCGTAGTTTTTGCATTAATACGTACTCAGGGAATTCAAAACATCCCTCTCTGGAGGATCAAATGTCAGCCCAACATTTCCTGCTGCTTATACATCTAATCAGCAAAGTTCACCCCATCAGCACCTTTTTTAAGGCCCTGATTTCATCAGCTTCTGCTTTTGACATCGTTTGCTGCATTTTGTGGGATGGAAAAGATTTTTTTCTGCTCCATTGTCTCACATATCCCCATGTTTGAAAACCGCCACAGAAAGAAAAACAGATAAAAACACAAATTAAAGCTGTTTCATAAAGGCCAGATTCAATGAGAAAGAACTGATCAGCAGAATGTGTTTTATTAACATGGCACCACAATGGTCTGGGACCCAGCAGGGTGTGTTGCCAGTGACAAATGTTCTGTCATGCCAGCAAAGATTGCAGCTCTCCTGAGCACAGGGATCTAGTCCTTCAAAAGTGCTTCCGAGAAGCACTGTAAATGCTAAATTAACTTCTCTCCCCACTTCCTGAGAGTGCTTGGAGAATTTAATACAGCAAATGAGAAAGATGTATAGAATTAAACCTGTAAATTGTTAATGAGACCCTAAAGCAGCCTCCCACTGACTCCCACAGCCACAAAGGCACACGAGTGGAAAAAGCCCGAAGTTGTGGGATGCTGGCAGCCACGTTTTGTTGACTGGCTCAACAATATATGCTGTCAGCCACCATCCTCTTGGTGAAAAACCCTTGGGACACCAAAATCTCACAGGGCATCATCCATACAACTTGTTCTTCTGGGAGATTCTGCACTGGGTGGGAGGGAAGAAATCACAAGTCATGAAAGAACCAGGCTTTGGAGGTGGTACATCCAAGGAAGAAGCTCAGAACCCCAAAACTTCCTCTTGTTCCACTCCCTGCCTTCCCCTGCATATCCCACCAAGCCCCCAAGGGAGCTGAGCTCCTGCTAATAAGCCTGCCCAAGAAAGGATAAAAGTTGCAGCTCATCCAGCAGCAATAAAGTCCAAGTGGATTTGCACTTGCATAAATCCAGGGAGAATTCTCTCCTTTCAAAATGATAGTATATTCAATACATACATGCAGTCTCAAGCCTCAAAATCAGCAAGTAAAATTTCTGGTGTCAGAGAAATCCTCGGTGTGAAGTAAAATGAACGCTGTCTAGCAATCCCATCTCGCCTGCTCGTTCACAGCCCCCTCATGTCTCACTTCCCAAACCATTCCAACCACCAAGAGTTAAAAATATAGCATGAAAAAACCCATATTTTATCCCTCTCTGTGTACTGAATTACCAGCTTTTCATTAAAACCCTGGAGAGACCCTTTATACTTAAAATCTCAACATTTACAAGCTGAGTGCTTTTACTTATAATTTCAGTTTCTTTCTGCAGAATACTTGATCTCTCTCTTCAATTTTCAGTTATGCTTGTTTCAGACATCAATTGTTAACGCCAGGGTTCCTCTGGGGACAGAGCAGCCAACAACACAGTTTTCAGAAAAGTCTCTCTGGGCTCCTAAAAATGCAAAGAAGAAACTCCAGGCTGTAAGAACTGGGCAGGAGTGGGCCAGGATACAACCAGAGCTGCTGTGCAGCCCCAGTGCCGTGGTTGTTTTTTATGGTCTCTGCTGCATCCTAAAAGACATGTAAAAATTCCTGTTCTATTCTGATATTTTTATCTGTTTACCGATGGTTTAACTTTGAAAAAGAAAACTCCTGATAAAACACAGTTCAGGAAGGGTACAGCAAACCAACTCAAATTCTGAGAAATCTTGGCATGCAGAAGAGGAGATGGAAAAAGTTGTATTTTTTCTTATGTTAATCACTTTACTGATCACTTCCTGGGGAAAGTGCCAGAATGGACTGATAGGCCCTCAAGCCTTTAGCTCCCCCACTCAAGGAAAGAACCTTTTCTTTGCCTCCACTGAAGGCCAGGTGAGGGTAAGGTGCCATATTCATACCAAAGCCAAGGTAGAGAGACTCTAACTCGCCAGTTAGAAAGAGATTTTCCATACACAGCTTCCACCAAAAATTATGGGCTTCTCCCATGCTCTCCCAAGCCATCAGCTCCTCATGGTTGGTCCTTTTGAACTCAAAGCAGCTGTGATCAAATGGAGGCAGCATTTGATGGATGTAAAAGAACTTCAGCAACTCTCTCAGCTCTGGCGTGTTCCAGCAGCTAGAAGGTCCCCAGCAGAAGCCACACACACATTTGTCTGACGATCTGCAGGGCCCTCCATGTAAAAATAAAAATTCAGAGCACTTGCACGCATTAAAATCCAGCCAGTTTGCCAAGAGACTAATTGTCAGGTACAGGAAAAATGCCAGGAAATTTAGTACAGCTAAATGGTCCGAAGGCCTGTGAGACTTGGCAAACCCCAAGAGAGTTAATTATTGCATTATTGATAATGTTGAGGACTTTAAAAATGTTTGGCCTTGCTTTCTTGACACAGAGGATTAAAGGTTAGAGATTGTCTCTCTCCAGAGCAACCCCTGGTGTAAGCAAATCTATGGCAATCAATGGGAATGATGCCTGAGGAAGGGCAGGACACTGAACTGACCTCTGTCCTGGGTTCAATCCTGCTCTGCTGACAGTCTGAGCCACTGAATTCCCCCTGATTCTCCCTTTCCCTCTCTCCTGAAGGGGAACAGGACAGTTTGTGCCTTTGACAATGTCAAGCTGAGCTTTGAGCTTTCTGTCCTGTGTGAGGGCAGTGTCCAAGGTTGCAAGAAACTGTAACTCAGAGACAAGCCCTTTGTATCTTAGTTTACTGTTGATTTTTAAACTTGATGATGGCAGATACCAGTCAGAGAACCTCAGAATCATTTAGGCTGGAAAAACCCTCTTCGGTCACTGAGTCCAACCAATGGGCAAGGACACCACTCCCAAGCACAGAGATCTAGTCCTTCAAAAGTGCTTCTGAGAAGCATTGTAAATGCTAAATTAACTGCTCTCCCTACTTCCAAGGACAAGGACATCACTAAACCATGTCTCCAAGTGTCACATCTACATGTTTTTTGAACACTTCCAGGGATGTGCCAGGTCCCAGAACTGTGGCCAGTGCACACAAAGATGGTCCCAGTTTCAAAATCGTTGGAGCCTTGTGACAAATCACAGCAGATACACACGACAGGCACTCAGGGAAGCATCAGCTGAGACAGTGAGCAATTAAATCATTAGTTAATCACATCCCAAGCCCTCCAGGAGGCTGGGTGTGAGCGGTACCCACCGTCCATCCCGCGGGACAGGAGCACTCCCCGGTGATGTGGTGACAGACGCCCCCGTTCTGGCAGGGGCAGCGCAGCTCGCACTGGGCTCCGTGGCTGCCGGGGGGACACAGCTCCTCACAGCTTGAGAGAACAACAGAAAACAAAGAGATCAGCACAGGAAACAGCAAACGAGGAAAACCCACCCCACAGTTCATCATGGGAGCCCTCGTGTGAACGATGAAACCTCTGCGAGCCTCAGCTGGCACTGCCAATTAGCCAAGATTCCTTTAATTTCTGTTTAGGTGCCGTGGATCCAGCCCTGGAAGGCTGATGTGTGTGTGTAACCTTTCTGCACGTCCCAAACTCCACCCATCTCAACAGGACAACTCATAACCGTTAAAACAGCCCAGGAAAATACGAGCTGCAAGATGAAGCCTTCAATGTGAATTATGGGATGTGGCAATAAAAGAAACTGCAAATAGAATAAAAGGAGGGGATTAAAATGCTTGAAATTTCTCCAGTCGCTACTGAATGTTAACATTTGCAGTGTATAATGGACTGGCAAGGACTCAACATCATTTAAAGGCTATTTAAGCTCATTGAGTCTCTCTCAGTACTCGTGGGGAGGCAATGCAAGGCTAATCCCTGCAAAAAGAGTGTCTCCTACATTGGTGCTTTCAGCATCAAGGTTCTGAAACTACAGAGTGTTCTTCTCCTAATTGACTGTCCTCTGATGAGGATGTTCCTACCACATATCAGGGGCTGGCCCTGCTGAGAACTGACACACTGGCGTCAAGGAGAGTACTCCTAACAGTGTGCAGAGTCTTTAGCAGTGAGTGCTTCCACAGCTGAGGTCACAAGTTTATGAGGAAATCAGGTGCTAAATAAAATATTCAAAAGGTGTATCACTTATTTATGAGGGTTAACATTGTCTTTAGTTTTTATCTTCCCCTTCCTGCAGGTCAACAAATAATAATAGACTGCAAAAGAATTAAGTCACCTGTAATAGATCTCCAACCAAATTCAGTGACTGAATTCTCTTTTCCCCTTAAATAATTCTGAAAAACATAATTACTTCTGAAACTACTGAAAGATCTCTAATGAGAACTGATGTTACACTGTGGGCAATTTTAAACAAGGAACTATTGCTTGCTGTCCTGAAATTAAAATGCAGATTTTGTGAATCCTACTGGTAAACTTTCCATGTGGTGGATGGGGATTTAGCTACATGATTCTCGTTGAAGTTAATAGGAGTCACACAGCTAAATCCCTGCTCACTATGCTTAAAATCTACCCCCTAGATAGTAAGCTGATATAGTTAACAGCAATGCTTTCTCAGTTAGACTGAAAGTCAAATAAATTGGGGATGGTTAAGTCTCATTTGATACTGCACTGGACTGCTAATGAGGAGAGAGTCCAATTGCTTATAAAAACTCAGCTGTAATTTGGATTGTATTCACATTCTGAAATTAAGAACAGGTAGAGTTGTTGCAAAAGCTGGAAAATATAAAGGATTGTAAAGCTCATTTTAGTGCTGTATTGTATTTCATTATGATAGAATCATATAATCCTGGAATGGTTTGGGTTGGAAGGGACCTTAAAGGTCATGTGGTTTTACGGCCTGCCATGGGCAGGGACACCTTCCACTAGCCCAGGTTGCTCCAAGCCCTGTCCAACCTGGCCTTGGACACTTCCAGGGATGGGCCAACCAAAACTTCTCTGGGGAACTGTGACAGGGACTCCCCACCCTCACAGGGAAGAATTGCTTCCCAATATCTCACCTTAAACCTGCCCTCTGGCACTTTAAAACCTTTGTTATATCACTACAGACCCCATCCAGCTCTCCTGGAGCCCCTTTAGGTGCTGCAGACAGCTCTAACCAGCAGCAAAAAAGAGAGATTTCCTTTATTTAGTCTCCATCCTGCCACCTGATTTCTCCAAAGGCAAGTGCCAACCACGCCGTGCCCACTTTGCCAAGTGCTCTCGGCACCGAAGGCGCCCGATGCAGGCGCGGAACCGCCCCCGCGGTGGCACTCACAAGACTCCAGTGTATCCGGGCGCGCAGTGGCACTCTCCGGTCTGGTGGTCGCAGGTGGCCCCGTGGTGGCACTGGCACTGGAGCTGGCAGGCCTTGCCGTAGGTGCCGGGCTCGCAGAGCTCCTCGCAGCGCCAGCCACGGAACCCGTCGGCGCAGACACAGGCGCCCGTGATGGGGTTGCAGAGCGCGTCGTTCTGGCACTGGCAGCGGTTGCTGCAGTGGGGCCCCCAGTGCTCGCTGTCACAGCCTGCAAACACACACTGCAAACTTCACCCTCCTGGCGGGCATAGAGCAGCCCGAGCGTCCCCTCCCAGCCCTCCCAGTTGGGTGCCAGAACTTTCTGAAGCACCCCCAGACTTCCCAAACCTCCCAGCGCCAGGTTTAGTGCGCGAGGAGACGCCACCACGGCTGTGACGCCTCAATTTGAGGACTTCTTTAACACCCTTATTGGATGAGGACCGAAATCTTTTAATATCCTGTTTCTTAGTGCTCTTAGGTAGCTGGAAGGAGTGAATTTATAGTGGAATTAGAGGCAGAGGATCACACCCTGCCTGCAGCGTGGTTAGTGGCAGGTGGCACTGCCAAGCAAATCCTGTCCATTTAATAATGTCATCAAACACAGTTTCTTTGTACTTTCCCATAAGATAATAAATAACACATTCTAAAGAAGGTTTTTTCCTTGGTATTTTCTTGTTTGGTGGGGTTTTTTTGGTGTTTTATTGTTGTTGCTTTGGTGGGGGTTTTTGCTGTTGTTTTGTGTGCAGGATGTTTGTTTGTTTGTTTTTAATTTATTTAATTTTTTTGTATTTTCTGGACTAAATAGATGGGAGGGAAGAAAATAACACCGGAGACAGGATGACCTGAGGCTGCTCAAGCTTAGGGATGAAGGTGTGGAATGTGCACGCCAGGTAATTCCTGTGCGAGTAACAGGAACGCAGAAGGACCCCAAACCTTCTGGCCACTGACAGGGAGAGGAGGTTCCCTACAGAAGGCATTAGGGTACAGTGAGAACCCTTCATGTGACAGTCCTGCCCGATCCCTTCTCCTCTTTTTTGGAGGATGAGAGAGGGAAATCAGCATTACAGGAGCAGTTTGTCCCGATTTGTTACAGAAACAGCAACTGGCACCTGCACAACACCTGTGTGAGCTGTGCACTGAGCAGAGCTCAAAGCAAACACCTGAGCTCCAGGTTTCCTCAGCAAACCATCAGCAGGAAAACAAGGATCCCATCCCTTTCCAGCTCTGGAGAGCTGGTTTCAATCACACCAACAACCCTGGTGCTCGTGTAAAACCCACTGCCAGGCAGGAGAGGGGAGAGTAATCCCAGCAACAGAGCTGGCTCCACAACCACTTTTGTTTGCAAACATGGAAACTAATCCCCAGGTGCCACGCGCTGATTCCCAGGCCTGGCTCTGTTTCCAGGATTAGTGAGGTAAATGTAAAGCTCACTTAAGCCTGATGCTTTTGTCCTGGAAAGCTCACAGCCCTCTCCTTCTATGGTACACGGCTCTAAACCCACGCTGGAAAACATCATCTATCAGTTCATTTTGGCAGTATTTTTATCCTTCATTTTGAGAAGAGGGATCCTTCTTGGTCAGACACTCTGAGGATACCCAGCAGAGGAATAAGAGAGACATTATTCTACCCACACTGCTGACTACCAGTTTCCAAACTTGTGTTTCTTGAGCAGGTGTTAAAGGCCAAAATAAACCCACAGAAGGCAATTCCAGGGTCTCCAAAAGGATCTGCAGGGTCCTAGAGGATGCAGGTACAGAGAGCTGGTTTCATGTCCTGCAGAAAGCAAATTCCTGTGCCCAGTCCTGCCCGTGCCTCACATCACACAGTTTATTGCTTTGCCTCACTTCTCCCCCAGCTGCAAACAGGGATGATAGTTCCTCTCTAACACCACTGGGAGCCCAGCAAACAAAATCTTATTCTTTATAAGACTTAAATTATTACTGAGAATCTGTGGAAAGAGATGATCTATCTTTATTTCACACAGACACTTGCTAAGATTCTGTGAGCCTTCTGGGGCAGTGAGCAAAGCTGCTGGAGCTGCTGGAGCTTCCCAGCAATTTCCATTCCAGAAACACTGATTTGTTTTCTGCAGAACTTGAACATCAAGGGATGCAGTTCTGCACCTCCACAAGGGTACAAATCCGAACTGCGCAAGCACAGCTGAGGGCCCTTAGCATTGGGAAGTGGAATTCAGGGATCAAACTTCACCCCGCCTGCTTTGGGAACTTGATTCCTCCTGTACCACACCTCACATCAGAGCCCCAACTGCAGACTGTGCCTTGTTCTGGGCTGGTACAATTCCAGCTGCAATTAATTTCCTTAATATGAATAAATAACACTCATTAGAAGAGGTGATTCTATCCTTGCTCTTCCCTGTCTCAGGTGGGTGCTCCAACCATCAGATTTGTCTGCTGGGTTTTTGTTTTTCACTTTGAAGGAAAGTGAAGGAGAAAGAAAACCTTTATAGGAAGGGAAAACCATTTTCCATCATCAGTTCAAGCATCTTGTTTCACCTGTCCAGTGCCTCCCCCTGCCACAGTTCCTTTTCTGTAAGTCCATCTAATTTGAACACTTATTTACTACTGATATTTGGTCACACACTTGCTTTCTCCATGTACCGAAGTTCACTCCACAATCCAGCCAAAGGGAAGAGCAAAGTGTTGAAGGAAAGAGCAGAAATTCCTCTCATTGGTTGGAAAATCATTAAAAAAAAAATCTGGAAAGGAAACCTGCAGTGACCAGAAAAGCAGCTGCCAATTTTTTCCAAAGGCTTCTCAGTAAAGGCATCAGTGAGTGCAGGTTGCAAAGCAGTGAGCCCAAATGGTTTAAGTACCTCTGAAATAAAGCAGCTTGGCATACCAGATAGCTGCTAAGAATGTGAATTTCATGGGGATTTATTAAGGAGAGAACATAAAAATAAGGATTAAAGTACATCTGAAAGCTCACGGAAGACAGAAAAAATAGAATTACTGGAAGGTGAGGCTTGTACAGTGTCATTGCCAGTGCCTGACACAGCCTTTGCTTCTTTTCTGTTCCTAAAACTACTTGCAGGGATTGACTACAGTTCTTTAGATGGTTTGAAACCAGTCACAGTGTGTGTGTAAAACTAAGGTGAATGCAGTGGATGTGTATAACCAAGGAGAACATCCTGCTGTCTCACTGGTGATGGGATCACACACTCAATGACAGGTTGGACTCCGCTAGATTTAAGTCTTTGCCTCAGATGGGAAATATCTCCTGCTTTCAGCCACCAGCTCAAGCCCTGTATTTGTCACATTGAGCAGGGCCATTTCATGCACTATCAATTCATCCAGTGCTGATTAACTGCAAAAGGAATCGAGTGGAAATCATTGGAAATGTGTTAGTGTAAAACTTGTGATAATGAAATATCCCCCTCACCTGATTTTACACTGCCTTAACCTCATGTGAAAATAAGATCTGTGTTGCTCAGAGTTTATCAATCCCTACCGGTTTTCTTCCCCTCTTTCCTTTAGGTCCCATATTGCAGTGACAGACTGAAGTTGGAAGTAAATTCTTTACCTGTGTCATTTCACTGGAACATGATGTGATATTTATATGATAACTCAGAGATCTGCACTGTGATAACTTCTGTGCCTTTACATAGGTAGCAGATACAGAGATGATAAGCTAAATCCAAGTCCTTATTCATACAATTAACTCCACTGGGCTCAACAGGCTCACTCGAGTGTGAGACTGCTGGAGTGCGTAATCAGCTACAGGATTGGGGTCCAGCAGCTCCTACTAGAAAATTAAAACCAGAAGAAACCAAAGACTTCAGCAATCAAGATGTATTTTTTCTATATCCACCAGTGTGGCAAATCCTGGCTGGTTGTGACAGTGACTCCAGTTTCTGAGATAAAGGGCAAAGCAGGCTCAGAGCCACAGGATCCCGCTGCACTTCGGGATCGTCAGCACCTTCTCCCGTGGGCTTGGAGAGACCATCTTAAAACACAAGCCCAGCCTAGCACAGCCTAATCCTGCTCTTGTTGTGTGTTACCATAATAGAGATAAATAATAACAGCAACAACATGTGAACAGAGAGCTGATTAAAGCTTACACGAGCGCTCCACTCTAAATGCATATGCCATTAAAACGTCAAAATGATACAGAGACTTTAACTAGACCATCAATAAGGAAAGCAACCTGAGAGAGGGGATGTCAGGGAGGTACAGATGCTCCCCTTAGCTGTGTGTGGGGATGTCAGTCCTGTGAGGGATGAGCCTGAAATAGCCACTGTTCTCTTGGGAGATGCTACATTAAAGGGAGCTGCCATATTTCAGGTCACGTGCCCACATTCCCTGGCAAACGTGCAAACTTAGTCACTTCTTCACCTTCAAAAATAGGACTGGAGAATAATTGCCATCGATAAAAATGAATATAACTCTGTAAAGGATGATGCTGGGTGCCTAAGCATAATTACACTTGTCTGCATAGGGTATGGCAGGGGAGGGATTCATCCTCCTGTGGAGAGTCTGCTTAGTGCAGCACCAAGAGTTCTCCAGCTCATGCAGCACCAAGGGGTTTCCTCCTCTGACCATCCCTACTCCCAGGCCAAAGCCACAGTTCCTTCTTCAAGTGAGGGATAATTACTGCAGGCTCTGCATGAAGAATCATGGAATCATAGAACGATTCAGGTTGGAAAAGATCTCCAAGTCACCAAGTCCAACCTCTGACCCAATAGCCCCGTGCCCACCAAACCACATCCTGAAGTGCCACATCTGCTTGTTTTGTGAACTCTCCAGGGATCGTGACCCCACCACTTCCCTGGGAGCCTGTTCCAGTGCTTAACCCCTCTTTCAGTGAAGACATTTTTTCTGCTATTTCATCCTGTTACCAGTTCTGTCCTGGGAAATAAAATACAAAACCAGGACACACTGGAAGTACTGCTTCCCTCCCAAAGGGCTGTTTATCCCTCTAGCAGGGATTAGGGAATTGCTGTGTCCTGGGTCCACAGAGCCACCCAGTACTTAGTGCAACAGCACAAGTCAGGCACAATGCAGCAAACACACAAGTGGCAGACAAATAAAAGGAGTCCCAAGGAAGGGATGACATTTATTGAGTGATTTATCCTGACCAGAGAGAGTCAAAAGTGCTATTCCAGAGCTTTTCCATCATGGCACAGGCACACTGTTAATATGAAAACAGCATCTTTGCTCACAGCAACACCTGAACCTGCGGTCTCAGGGTCTGTGTTTATTTTGTTCTCAT